AGCCAATTGTTTTTGTTGAATTGTAATTCATAAAACATAAACTCAACCATGTTAAAGCATACAGTTTGGTGGCATTAGAACAGTTGCAATGTCATACAACCATCTCCCCCATCCAGTTCCAAAACGTTTTCCTCAACCCTAAAGATGACTCTCCTAAATACTCACTGGTCACCTCCATTCTCCTAAGTCCACCGCCTTTGTTGTTGTTAGATGCCATCGCGTCAAGCACCACTCATGGTGACCCTGTGAGCAACATCCTCCTGATCTCTGGTGTCGCACATCTCTGATGCTCAAGGCCTGTGTCAGCCCATCTTGTTCAGAAGAGTCCTCCCTTCCTCTGACCCTCCACCTTCCCCAGCATGGTGTCCTTTTGCAGGGATGGGTCCCTCATACTATGGCCAGAGCCATGGAGTTGGCTTTGTGTCTGGGGCTTTCCCTGTTCTGGATACTTCCCATGCATAGAATGTTATGAGTGGCTTTTTTTGAAGGGCTTCTTTGTTTTCGAAGTTCATCCACATTGCAGCAAGAATTTATGTTTGATGGTTTTATGATTTTTAAAATGCCGAAGTAACATTTCCGTGTATTCATCAGTTGATGGACATTTAGATTGTTTCTTCCTTTTGGAAACAATGCAGCTATGAATGTTCATGGACAAACATTTGTTTGAATGCCTGTTCAGCTACTTTGAGCTGTATACCGAGGGGTGGACTTGCTGGACCACTGGATGATTCCTCTGTTTAACTCTTAAAAGAACTGCCCAGCTCTTCTACACTGTACACTGGCTTAACACCATTTACATTTCTACCAGTAGGAAAGATTTTCATTTCTCCACAACCTCACCAATACCTCTCATTTATTTTCCTGTTTGCCATTATAGCCATCTTATAACTCATTGTTATGGAGTTGTCATTGCTACATAGCTGCTCCTAAAGTCCGTTTTCTGAGGATGTAAATCATGCACAGGAGGACATTGACCATCTTTGCCCTATGGAGCTCCTGGTGGCTTCAAACTGCCAGAGAAATGTCACCTTTAAGTTAGTGTGGGTGAAACGATATATCATCGTGGTTTTGATTTGCATTTCACTGTAAGCATTCAAGACCGACTCAGAAGAGGAAGGACCTGGAACAAGGGATATCATTCTCAATGTCAGGTGAATCTTGACTTGCAAAAGAAAATACCAGAAGGATGAGTAATTGTATTTTATTAAGTTTTCAAAGGCATTCAATTGTGTGGAGCAAAAAAAAAAAAAAAATCATGGGATTTCCAGAATGCTTAATTGTGCTTACATGGAATCTCTACACAGGCCAAGAAGCAGTGGTTCCAACAGAACCAGGGGGAATCAAGGGGAAACTGCATAGTCTAAAAGCAGCAAAGATGTGCATCAGGGTTGTGTCATTTGACCATACCTGTTCAATCTGTATACTGAGCAAATACCAAGAAGGTGGACTATATGAAGAAGAATGTGGCATAAGGATTGGAGGAAGACTTGTCAGCCTGCATTATGCTAATGCTATGACCTTGCTTGTTGAGAGGGAACAAGACTTGAAACACTGAAGATCAGCAACTATAGTAACCTTTGATCTATGTCAGTGGCAATGCATAGACTATAGGACTTACACCTCAACAAAAAGAAAACAAAAATCTTCCCATTCTGATAAATGAGCAACATCATGAAAAAATAGGAAAAGGATTGAAGTTGTCAATAGTTTTTCTTTTACTTGGATGAACAATCAACACTTACGGAAGCAGCAGTCAAGAAATCAAACCATGACCAAATCTGCTACAAAGGTCTTGTATAAAGGGCTAAAGAGCAAGGATGTCACTTTGAGGACTAAGGCTCACCTGCCCCAAGCTATGGTATTCCTGTCGCCTTGCCCACATGAGAAAGTTAGACAATGGTTAAGGAAGCCTAAAGAAAAATGGGCCCCTTTGAGTTACCATGGTGGCGAAGACTGTTGACTCCTCCGTGGCTTGCAGGAGAGCACACAGACGTGTCTTGGAGGAAGTGTGACCAGAGTGAGTATCCTTTCGAAGCACGGGTGGCAAGAGTGTGTCTCATGTGATCTGAAGGAACCACTGCCTGAGGACAGGGGTCAGCAAAAACAACACGATCCTCATGGAGATGGATCGACGGGGTGACCGCAACAGTGGACACCACAATGATTGTGAGGGTGACTCAGGCCGGCAGTGTCCTGTGACAGCGAGGTCTGCAGAGTCAGAACTTCCTTGATGGCACCTAACAACAGGAATGACTAATGAGGGGCCCTGGGGTGCACTGGGTTAATCATTGGGCTGCTCATGATGAAGGCCAGTGTTTTGAACACACCAGCTGCCCCACAGCAGAAAGAGGAGGCAGCCCCCCTCCGTGAAGATGGAAACCTGGGAACCCCAATGTGCAGTTCTGCTCTGCCCTGCAGCGTGGCTGTGGGTGGGTGGGGTTCTGGTTGGACCGACTGGTGCCGCTGAGCATCTTTCCACAGGTGCAGTGCCCATCTGTCGTCCCCTCTGGAGAAGTGGCTCTTCTGGAGCTTTGTCCATTGTCTTTAAGGATTGTCTTCTTTAAAAATTATTTTATTGTTTCGAGTGTGTGTGTGTACTGTCAAATCGGATCTGACTAGTACAGGAGGAGATTGCCCCTCCTTCTCCAGCAGAGCATCTGATGGATTTGAACCA